CGAGATTGGCGAACGTACGCCTTATGAGCACTGGCGTAGCCAGGGGGGGGGCCTGGGGGCATTTGCCCCCCCCAAGACCCTTACATTTTATGAATATTTCTTCAAAATTAAGATAAACAGTCCCAAAAATAGCGTAAAGAAACCTGAAAAAGGGGCGTGGCACCCAAAAATTTCGCGCCTGCGGCGCTAAGCCTCCGGCAGCGGTCGCGGTAGGGCCGCAAAAGACGCTTCCTGCAAATTTGCCCCCCCCCAAGACAAAATCCTGGCTACGCCACTGCTTATGAGGATGAGCAATCCTGAGGCGGGATTATGTAACGGATAGAAATCGTTGTCGATACGCATATTTGCGTATAAACAAAAATATTTTTAGTAAATATCATGGTCGTTTATCCCGGTTGCCAAATTTTCAAAATGATCCGCTTTTTAGTTCTCCATAAACATCTAATACGCCATCCACCGTGGTCCCTGGGACATCCTGTAATCTGTATGTAGGGCTGCAGGTGCGTGCATGCCATTTTGTTCCTGCACTTAAAATATCTTTTTTTAATGAATTGCAAAATGGCAAGCAAAAAGAAATCATTAATTATTTTTATTATTTTGTACAACTTTGATTATTGTTTACACTACGATGCTCCAAAGCTGGATGCATGCCTTTCGGGCTATATAATTATTTCATTACAAAATCATTACTGAACATTGTTTGAACGAGTTTGAAATCACCAAAAGTATACTAACCGTGCGTTCGTTATTTTGGTGCGAGTTCTCCGAGCTTGACTTTACCGTTCGTTTATTTAAAAAGTGTACTCGGTGCAGCCTCATTCGCGTTCGTTTATTGAAATTTCTGGCACTTTTATTCAGCGTTCAACTGCTCTGTTCGCTCACTGATCACGTGATTACGGCTCCGCTCAGCACGCTCTGCTCTTTGAGCAAAATACCGAACGCAAGGTAAAAATGTTCACAAGATTTTCCGCTAATTTTCCGGATTTCCCCCACCGAGCGGCACATGCCATTTATTTTTTACGCTGTTATTTGGATGACTATTTCACTAGAGTGTATTATAGTTGGGGAGCTGGCGTCAAAAACATGCAAGAGTTTTCGCAAGGCGGATATTTTCAAAATAGGTCGTACTTTAGTGCTAGAATGCTAGTGTACAGTCAGCACTCACAGTTCCGGGACGCATCTAAACATTCCGGTATAGGATTCGGCACCTAGGCATATTTCATTGGTCCGTTTAAATTCGGACCGCCAATTAATGCGGAGTGCCGAGATCCGTACTCGAATGTTGAACGGTGCTGAGCCTCAGGTCGGAATGGTATATACATATACTATGTGGAGTGCCGAATCAAAGGTCAAAATGTTAAACAGTGCCCAGCTGCAGGTTGGAATGTTACTCCGTTAGCGCGGCACAAAATCAACAAACTAACTTTATTTACTTTTTGTTGTCTATTTTATTTCAACGATACATTTCAAAAAATCTTGGACAATCATTTGCAGTGGCGGATCCAGGGGGGGGGATTATAAAAACCTGAATCCTGGCAAATTAGAATAGAAAATTTTGAAAATAAATACCCTAATTTATCTATCTTTTTTTTTGTATCTGTGGTGCTTAGTTTAATTAAGATATCAATTGAAGCCAGGCAACAGCAGTTTTTGGATTTTCCTTTCTTATTATTTCTTTGATCCACTTTTTTATAAGCACTATGATGGCATACAAAAACATATCTAAAAAATGTATTTTCCAAAGTTTATTCGCATCCAAGAAGATTCTACGTCATTGAATTGACATTGAACACAAACCTGCATTTGAATTCGTTATAATTATTTTTCGCTGACTTCACATTCCAATTCGTGTATGTTATATCACTATACTCTTCTATCCATTACTTTATATCGTTTTCCTCCAAAATGTTGGCTCGGTAAATTTGCTCGCCACTCTGAAAGTGTTTAAATGATCTAGGCAAACTCATCTTGCATGTTTAAGCACAAGAACACATGAAGCAACGGCGAAATAAACCGAATCCGCCGCAAAATTGTAGCTAAGAGGAACACGAAGGAGATGGACAGCTGATTTAATATAAAAACCGCGCCAAACGCATGGCAACATTCGGACCTGATACTCAGCACTGTTTAACATTTTGACCTTAGATTCGGCACTCCACATGGCTGTTGCTAATGGACCATTCTGACCTGAGGCTCAGCACCGTTCAACATTCAAGTACCGATTTTGGCACTCCGCATCAATTGGCGGTCCGAATTCAAACGGACCAATGAAATATGCCTAGGTGCCGAATCCTATACCGGAATGTTTAGATGCTTCCGGGACAGCTGGCTCTGGGACGCGGGCAAAGTTGTAATTTTAAGAAGCATCTAAACTGTTTTCTCAAAGCTCAAAATTTATAGAAATTTTGCACATTATCTGTTTGAAGGTCACAGATAACGTATGTAAATCGTCAGACGTCTAGTTCGTTGCAAAAAGGGGGTCAGACGTCCATAAAGTTTTTATTTTATGGCATTTTCTTCGGTGTCCTGTCAAAATATATTTTTGCAGGTATTTGACAAATATATAGTAGTAAGCTGTGGTTTTATCTTGGTACAGAAACAACGGGTAGTTGGAACGGTTTCATGATCGTTTTTGTAATGACGACAGTTCAAATAACTTTAACCCTAAATTTGTTTGTTTGCAAATTAAAATAGAAGAATATAGGATTAGGAATATATAAAAAAGGAAAATCGAACACCAACGCTGATTCATTATCAAGAATCTGAAACTGAATCCTTGCAAGCTGATAACATCAAGGATTAGCAAATAGCTGATAATAAATTTTGTACTTTTTTTCACTTGAAAAAATAAAAATGCTACAGTTTTATAAGTTAGATTGGAAATTGGTTGTTTAACAACAACATGAACAACAACAACAGGTGACAAAAATTGAATTACGCATGTCAGTCATGAATCAGTCCACGCGGTTCTTGCTTTCCACTCGGGATCGAAATGACGGTGCTAAAACCAGTTCTCGAACGATCCCAGGTTTGGTTGGAACGCCAACGAAACTGTACGGTAAACGATCATCTCTCGGTTGGAACGCCTTTAACCTATGGCGCATGACCGTGACCGTACATTGAACGGTTTTTGGCTGGGTTGGAACGAACCTAATAATATGAAAGGAAAGGGATCCAGGGGATCCAAGACAAAGAAAACTCATTAACTTTTAGGCTCAGTTCGGCTTTACACCTAAACTCCGAGCGCGCTCAAAATGATAAGATCCTGTTCGCGTTCCAAAATGCATCAGAAAAATCTTGTAACCGCACTTACACCTAACTTTTACCGGAACTTTTTGACAGCTACCGGTTTAAGCCTAGTACTCTTAACTGAGAAATTCGCATTTTTTTGACATTGCGTTGACAATTTGACGTTTTATGCGTGTATCAAACGTCAAATTGTCGAAGCAATGTAAAAAAAAATGCGAATTTCGCAGTTATGAGTACTAGGCTTTAGGGTGGATTTTCATGCATCCGTTTTTCCGACGAAAGATGTCCGAAAAACATTCTATTCTGACATAATCGTATAAAAATATGTCAATATAGAAGATTTTTCAGACATATTTCGTCGGAAAACGGATGCATGAAAAGTAAAAGCTTTATTTAACCGGTAAATTTATCGGTGAAATTTGGAAAGGTTTTTTTTCCCTACTTTTAAACAATTTTTTTTTTGAGATTAGTGACAACTAAACTGTGACAGGGGTTTGATTTTTTCCGAGCTGGGGCGAGTTCAGGAATGACACACCCAGTGTGAGTGTGACACCAGTGCGACGCCCTTGCTGTTCAAAAATGCTAGACGGTGCTATGGGCTCAATGGCCAATTGTCAATTCAGGCACACCCATAAAATCGCACTCGCACCCTCTACATTATTTCTGAACTCGGTCCTGCTTTCCAGTTTCCGAAGTGTTCGGATTCCGCGATATAACAAGAAATAAATTGACACCCACGGATGTGACAGCTGAAAGGTTGACGCGTACGTATAGCTCGGGAGCTTAAAAGTTTCTCAGCGCGAAATTCGCTCTTTTTTTGACATTGCTTCGACAATTTGACGTTTATTGCGTGTATCAAACGTCAAATTGTCGAAGCAATAGTTGTATTCCTTTCACACCTAGGATGAGCTCCGGAACAGCTCCGGGGCTTCACGCCCTTATTCCTTTCGAAAAGTGTTTGTTGCATCGCGCATCTGTTCCCTGCAAATCGGGGGCTACTAAACACCGGAGCGAGTAGCTCGAGTGTGTCAAACTCTTGAAAGGAATACAACTAATGTTAAAAAGAGCCAATTTTGTTCAAGTGAGAATGAAGCTTCACGATCTGAGTAGCTCCGAGCGTCATACTCCCATACTGAGGTGCTTTCCAGTGTTGAAGTCCGAAATGGTGGGGGTTAAGACGAGAGCGTTCCAGTGCTGCTTATGTCGAACAGTTCAAGAGCGTCACACTCCAGGAGCATGATACTCTAACAATTTAAGCACTGGAAAGCAGCTCAGATCTGCGTGCGGCTCATCAAGGATGATACATAAACACACCTACAAGGATTGCTTATTGCTTATCGGCCTCGTTTTTGGTTATCGCCGCCATATTGGTGTGTCACCATTTCCGACGTCATAACGTGGGTGGGGGAAGGGGGATTTGTTACACACAGGCCTTATGAGGATAGGTCATCCTGTAGTAGTAGTGTGTATGATCCTTGGCGGCTTACGACCTTGTTCAGATTAGAACACACTCTGCGTATGACGTCACGATATCCATGCTCACCGTTCTGCTTTGTGGAGTGCAAAGTCGAACTCAGCCTTAATAATTTTTAATTCCTCAAATAGCACAAATCTCAATGTTCCAGATCCAAGAGGGCTGAGAACCACTTTTCGCGACAGATTCCTGCACATTCCTTCCACAAGATTTTTTTCTCTTTCCAATAGATGGCGCCTTACACAAAATCATTTTATAATTTTTTTTTATAAAAAGTTTTTCTATTTTCTAGCTATATGCTAAAAAATGAGACACAATATACACCAATAAGTAAATGATCAAAAAATAAATAAAATAAAATCCCAAGATCTTCCATAACTAGAAAACGGGTGCCGGTGGGTGGGCGGTGGAAGAAATAGCAGAGAATACTCAACTACGCATGTTCGCGATGACAAAATTGACAACAAAGAAGAGAGACAAATAGAGGAACCAACGTGCGAGAGCGAGAGAGAAACACGCCAGATGTTCATGATGGCTACAGGATTGGTTAGGGAGTTGATTCGTAAGATTTTCCTTTAAAAAAATCCATAATTCGGTGTAAAAATTGCACAAAATTCAACGTTGGAGCTTCGAATTCTGTTTAAAAAATACACTCCGGCCTTATGTGATATTTAAAAAGTGCAGTTATCTAGTGTATGTGTTGTAATTTCTCAAAGGAAGACGTCCTGTTCTGGCCCACAGAAAAAGTAAAATGGCGATTTGTTGAAGGAGGAGAAATAATGGTAAACGTATTGAATCTTTGAGCTTCTGGACCAGCCAAAATGGAAGATTCGTCGTCGTCGATGGGCCAAAACGGGGGCCAGATGGGCTCGCAGGCCGCCTCGTCATCAAATAACAAACAGAACGAGGATTCCCAGCAAAAGGACTATTCCGTACCAGGCATACTACATTTTATCCAGCACGAATGGGCCAGGTTTGAATTGGAAAGATCACAATGGGAAGTGGATAGGGCTGAATTACAAGTAAGAACCATTTTTATTGTCAATCTTTAATAGTTTCTTTTGAGGACCCTTTCGGTCTTTTGGTTTCTTGCTGTTTATTGATTTGTTGTGGTCTTCCCAATTCCTCCCCCTTTTTTTTTACACATAAATCAGCCTCTTCAATTTCTTGTCACTTTGATTACTTGCCTATTTTTGGCCACTTTACAACAGTTAAATAAATTAAATATTTAATTTAAATGCCATGCAGATTATTGCAAGTATCATTATTATTCATTATGAAACACTCAATGAAATTCTTCGCAGTAGCTGTGTTCAAAGAAAAGTTTATTTAAAAATGTGCAATAATTTATTTATTACATATTTGAAAATTTTTTTTTCTCAAGAGCAATTTCTTTATCTGGCACGTCTGGCAGTAAATTGTATATTTTAGGACTAAAATAATGTATGTCTTAATTCATAGTCATGAAATTGAAATATGTTATGCTTCTCGACCTCCTGAACGTAAGTTTTCATAGGCCCAAAAAGATCCTATGATTAGTTTCGGAGATACAGGGCCGGGTTAACATACAAAATTTTGACAAAAAATAAACGATGGCAATGACATATTCTAGGTTAAAAACAGGTGAAAAAACGCAAAATAATGTCATTCGAAGCTTTTTAGGTTAAAAACTTGTTGAAAAATGCCAAAAATATGTCATTTTTGGTTATGAATTAAATTGATGTACCTATAATAGACCAGGAGATTCTGGAGATTTTTTGTGTGCTAATTTATATTTTATCGGTCCTGTATCTCCGAAACTAATCATAGGATCTTTTTGGGCCTACGAGAACTTAGGTTCAGGACTCGGTTCAGGAGGTCGAGAAGCATAACAAATTTCAATTTCATAACAATCGTGAAATTTATTTTTTCTCATAAGATCCGTGCGTGGTCCTTTATTAATTACAATTCCAAGGTATTTTGCGGATGAATTACAATACAATTATTATCCACTTGGAATCATCACTGTGTTAGCCAAGGTGGTAGCTCTGTGACAAGGGCACCCCCACCAAAAAAATTTTAGAAAATTAATCTGTGGTTTGTATGCCCATGTAGCCCCCCAATAACTTTTTTTTTTTACTACTAACCTGAGAAATTGTCATTATTCAATCTATTTTTCTAGGAAAAAATTGAATTTCTCTCCCTAGGTGAATAATGAAAATAATGAAAAAATACCTAGGTTAATAATGAAAATGACGTCATGACGCAAGGATATTTTCATGTTTCTATTGGTTCAATTTCATTTTCATACGTCAATTTGAAAAAAAAATACAGGTTTCTGTAGGTACATAGGAAGTTATCATAAGCTGTTGATAGAGGACAGCACTTTCAAGAGGGCGTTCAAAAAAAAATAATTGGAGCACAGATTTTAAGCAAATTTCTCATTTTCTACTAGCAGTAGTAAAAAAAATTCTATATATTCCTCGGTAGAGAAAGTCATTATATACCTCACTCATTATAAACCTCGGCGCGAGCGCCTCGGTTTATAAAAGCGCTCGGTATATAAGGACCAACTTCTCTACCTAGGTATATAATATACTATTGTCCACTCCTGAAAAAAAAATGTAATTGAAAAAATAAAATTCTGTCAGTATTTTTTTTTCAGCATCCCCACATTTGAAAATAACCAATTCTAAATTTCAGTTCGTTCTTATAGATACCCACACCTCCAAACAAAAAAGTTATTGATTTTTTTTTCAGCACCCCCAAATTTGAAATTGAACAATCTAAAATGATTACAGTTTGTTTGCCCATCGACAAAAGTGACCCACGAGGTGTTCCAGATGGTAAAAAAACAAAAAAATAATCAAAATTCAGGTGTCTAAATTGAAAAGAGTTTTATATAAAAAATTAGCACACAATCAATATGTGGTTGTTTGCCCATATGGTCCCACTGTTTTTTTTTTTTTGCCCAGTCCTCAAAAAAGGTTATTAAAAAACTAGTTAACTAGTCTACTACATGCTTCAAGAAATCCAAATTGGTTTGTAGATAATACCTACCTTATTGATTTTCAAAAACCCAATTAGTCTTAATTTTTATACATTTTTCACAAAGCTTTTAAAAATTACTGATAACGCTGACAGGTCGGTAATTGTTAATGAAAGTCTTGGTACATGCTTGGTATTTTTCTCGAGGTTTTTCTTCACATTGAATAGATATATTGTACCATAGTGCTATGTTTTCAGTATACAAACTAAAAATTTAGGTAGGTTTAAAATTTTCTGGTTTCCTAGGGAAAAGTTTGGTGGAAAGTAACCTTTTCTTAACACTTTTAATAATAATTTACGGACTAATTTATCTACTCAATAAGGTATCTGTATAGAATTTAATTGAAATAAAACCACATAGTCACATACAAATTTGAATTGAGCATTATCTATTGGCTAAACTCCTAATCCTGATGAAAAATAAAACAAACAAATTTACATTTTCACAGAGTTCTGGTATCATGAAACCATTTGATACCGGGTTACTCTCTGGTCTGTCATTAACGACAGTTGAAACCAATCGGTATCAGAAGGTTATGAAATGTTTTAGTATAATTTCGCCATTGTTGTTTGTTGATGTTAATGTTAATGTGAATACAGCTTAAAATAAGCATCAAATATGATATTAGAATATCACAAAATAATAACATCCCTGTTAAAAAGGAGTTAACATTATGGTAGTTGGTGAAAGAAGAACGCTATTTTCATAGGTATGCAGATACAGATAGGTTCAATGTCGGAATATGTGCATATGTCGGAAAAGCTGACTTTTGAGCATTATCGAACAATAAACTCACTAAAATAACCAAATTATCATAACACAAAACTAAACCAAATCGGCGAAATTCGGCATTGATTCAAAAATTACATAAATAAGCCAAAATCTAACCTCAACAACTCATACCGCGTCTTCATACCATCATCCTGAATGGTTAAAAGATTGACGGACCGAATTGAAACCAGGTTGTCGAATGACATACCGAAACACTTCGTGAAAACGTGTGGTTTGTTATGGTTCATGATACCACATTCATACCAAAACTCGTGAAAACGCTTCAGCTTTCCTTAACTTTTTTTATTTTGTTTTACTGGCGTTCTTACATATTTTTCTATTTTTCCCATTTCAAATTTTTCAGTCTTAGCTTTTCAGTTTTGGGTTAGGTATTGTTAATGTTGTTTTCCTTCTGTAAATACCTAATAAACAGGAAATTCAAAAGCTTGAAATAAAAATACATGTTAAGAAAAATTAACTGTTTTAATACAGCTTGAATACTTTCACAGCTGCAACGCTTCAAAGTGAAAAACTCAAAGAAAGTGAGCAGAAAAATAATCGTTTTCTTAAATTTCAAACATTTTTTCCACTTGCCAAATTTCATTCATTTTTCTCATTATTCTTCTCTTGATTCTCACTTCCTCTGTCTCAATTTAAATAAAAGAATGAAAAAATTTATAGATAGAGCCTGACAAGACTAGGCGGAACACCTAGCACCTGGCTTTTTTTAAATACACTCCGGTTCCAGCAATGGCAATGGCATTTGAATATATAAGTAGGTTGAGTGATAAATTTTCTGTGCAACGAGTTTCACAAAACCAATGACCTCACCAAACCCTTTTTCTCTTAAAAGTTTCTCTAGATTTCAATTCAGAGGGACAATTCGTGTTATTTTTCAGCGTTATAAGAAAATCTAATTTAATCTTTATAATGCCCTTATATAAACCTGTCAGCTGAAGAGGTATAAATAAATATTTAGTAAAAATTGCAATACTTGTGCCTGAATAAATTAACCCGAGCATTACACTGGAATCAGAGATAAATACTATATAAACTGTCGAGAATGGAATCTCAGTGTAAATTTTGTTGTCAACAAAATTGAGCCAAGCCAGCGCCATCTACCATATCGGAAAATAACTATTTTCTGGTTTTGCATCGATGCTACAGACACCTACTTTACAAAGGACTTTTTATGATAGATGGCGCCCTGTTCGCATTACTGTCGGTCTGTTCAAATTCGTTTATTCTGGACTTTGGGGCATTAATGTTTGCTTAAGTTAATTGATAATTTGTTAATTAGATCAAAAGACAGTTTCTTTATCGATGGTTAAGAGTATCCTTAACATATGTATTTATTCAAAGTTCTGATTGATGTTTAATCGAACCTGTCATTTATCTAATCAACAAAGATAAAAATATTGAAATAGTAGTCCATGTCTCACAGTGAAGAGAATAGTTAAAGAACATTTACAAAATAAAGGTGAAGATTCTAATGTTAATAAAATAATTTTTTCAATCTTCACCTTTATTTTGTAAATGTGTTCTGTGTTGGATGCAGCTTTAGCCACCAACTTTATGCTGATAACAGCATGAACACTTATATTTTTATGTATAATTATTATACTTAGGCATGTCGTATATGACCATATTTTCCCTGTGCCATTTGAACTTATGCTGATGATGGATCTATGATAGATCCGAAACATGTACAACCCCCCTTCCAACTGATTATTTTTGTAAAATAAAGAGTGAAGATAGACTGTGTGTTTTACTCCAGTTCTTTAAAGATAAAAATAGATCTTTCAATCTATAAAGTTTGAAGTTCTTCTTGAAACACACAAAACAACTTTGAAATCACTTAAGTACACTTGACAACACAAAGAAAGATGAAATGCAAGACCGGCAAACAAAAAACATGAATTATTAGTTATGATCAAATGAATATTTTGGCATATTGTCATATGTTGACATGTCAGTTATTGACATCGGACGTGTTTTTGATGTGCCTCTGGTATTTTCCAATTTTCACAATTCTGTGGTTGTCAGCGACATCTAGAAAAACGGAAAAGAGTTATTATGTGGTTTATAACTGGCAATGAGAGATCGCAGGGCCTGACTGGAATCGATTTTGTTTGTGTAAACATGGTCGAACTCCTGCACTCTAGAGCGGCATTCTTTCGGACCGGATCAGTTGATCCAAACGCGTTATGTTCCAGTGATCAC